ATATATATATATTACAAACTTTGTATTTATTACCTAAGATGGAGTAGCTTTCAACAAGCAATTTCCCCTTGGGGATCAATAAATTCAATTCATTTCTATTCTATTCTATTTTTATTTGTTTAATCTTGTGATTGTACAGCACTTTGGTCAGTGGTACTGTTTTAAAGTGCTATATAAATAAACTTGCCTTGCCTTGCCTTGCCTTTAGCATAAACATATATTGAGGCTGCACAATGGTGCAGTTGGTAGCACTGTTGCCTTGCAGCAAGAAGGTCCTGGATTTGATTCCCAGCCCGGGGGTCTTTCTGCATTGATTTTGCATGTTCTCCCTGTGCATGGTGGGTTCTCTCCAGGTACTCTGGTTTCCTCCCACAGTCCAAAAACATGACTGTGTAGTTAATTGGTTTCTCCAAATTCTCCCTAGGTGTGAGTGTGTGTGTGCATGGTTGTTTGTCCTATCTGTCTCTGTGTTGCCCTGTGACAGACTGGTGACCTATCCAGGGTGACTCCGTCTCTCGCCTGAAACTTTAGCTGGAGATGGGCACCAGTAACCCTCCCGACCCCACTAGGGACAAGGGTTAGGGTAGACAAGGGTGTATAAAATATGGATGGAAACATATATTGTTTCTTTCCTCTTTTGGGGGTTGAGTTACGTCTATTGTGTAACACCAGCAAAACAAACGTAAGCAATGAAGGGAAAAGAGAGCTGTGCATTTTCTAGCTGATAGATGTATTTTTCATTGAATAATGAAATTACTGTTTCGCACTTACTTTTACAAAGTAACTATGGCAATAAATTAACTACACTATATGTCATACATATGTATATGTATTCATGTTTTTACAGACACTACAGTAATCAAGAATCAAGGATCAAGAATGTAAACTAACTAAAGATAAAAAGTATGTTTTTTATCATACAGAATGAGATTTTTAACAGCTAATTTGCAGCTGTACACATTATTATACATCTCAACTCTATTTAGTGTAGCTAAAGTTTTCACTCATTTGTTTCAAAGCCTTTCCTCAAACCCTCTCCTTTTCAATCATGATCTTTATAAGTAGTGTGAAAATAATGAAAAAATTAAAGCAAAAAAAAAAAAAAAAATTCAACCTGACATCAGTCTTCACCTGTTCTCCTTACTGATTTTATTATAATGTTTTTTATCCTCACACCTCAAGCTCCACCTGGCTCTCCTGTTTCTTCCCTGACCTGCTCTTTTCATAGCAAGATTGTTTAGTTTATTTAAAAAGTAATACATTAGTACATATTTAAATAAACTAATGGTAGAACTTACTTGAACTTCCTCAGTCTCTTCACCGTTCAATGAGATCACTATTTTGACATGGATTTTCTTCTGGATATCTGATATAATCTTACACGTGTTGATAAATAGTCTAGTATGACCAGGTTTTGTGTAGCTATTGCTCATACTGATATTAGACTTTGAAACAGCAGCAAAATGAGCCTTTTTGTTGTTTAGTCTCATTGTGATGAAATAAAACATTGTGGTTAGAGTAGCTAACTTAGACAAAGGTAAGCAGTAAAATATTGGGCGTATTCCAGAATTAAAACGACTTAACCAAAATGATTTTGTTCCTATTTATGAAACTAAACTGACAAGTTGCTATAAACAAGCAATATTCATGGCAACATTCCCAGTTTTCTGACTTCTGCTGCTGTCTACTGCCTCTCAAACACTTTGAGCCATTCAGAAAGGGGTGAGAGGATCATTGTGTTGCAGACACCAACCCTGTTGCGCTTCAAAATAAAAGCACATGACTGAAAGTTTTCAAAATCTAACATTTTTCACAACTTCCATGAAATTTTTAGGTGGGACAAATGCGCCTGTCTTTAATATTGGGGTGACAATCCCCCTCCCACCTCCTCCACCCCGTCCGCTTCCTATGCCTATGTTGTTGACCATGACATATAGATACGGCTGGAGAGTTGGGTTACATTAAAGACTTGCTGTTGTATAAATTGGTTCTGGTCTGCTCTGCATTGTCAGAACCAGAACCAAACATGGAGAAGCTCCAGTTTCTATGCACCACAAACTTCCAGAAAACTGGAAAAACAGTCGACACTGAATGCCTTTAAATATAGACTAAAATCCCACCTTTTTACAGTTGCTTTTGAACCATAATAAATTAAACATTGATGACAATTTTAATGTGTAATAATGGGACTTGGCAAAATATAGTTTTTACTGGTTTTCTCAATTGTTGACTGTGAGGTGTCTTCTATGATTTTAGTTTTTGTGTTTTTATGATGTAAAGCACTTTGAACTGCATTGTTGAAGTGTCCTATACAAACAAACTTGATTTATTGACTAACCACAATTTATTATATTTAGTCAAGTTTAATCAATTAGTCAATTTAGTTATGTTTGCTTTCGCTTTCTCGCATTTAGTCGTATTTAGTCAGGTTTAGTTGCATTTAGTCACCTTTTGTCACTTGAAGTCACACCTAGTCAACTTTTTTTGAGAGTAGTCGGACAGGAAAGTGGGTAATGAGAGAAGACATGCAGCAAAGGTCATCAGGCCGGGACTCGAACATGTGATGGCCACAATGAGGTATAAGACCTCAAATTGGTCTTATACCTCATTGTGGTATAATGAGGTATACCACATTATACCACAATATTGTGGTATAGGTTGTTGCAACAACCCATGCTGCAACAACCTGCATGTGTTATTGCAGGTTGGTACCCCTGCACAACCCATATTGTGCAGGGGTACCAACCTGCAACAACAGGTACCCCTGCAGTACCTGTGCTTAGTCATCTTTTGTCACATGTAGTCAAAATATAGCATAAGCTTCTATGTTTTTAAGTTGGTTCTATGTGACAGATGACAGATGTCACATAGAACCAACCAAGTAGTCCGTAAATGTGAAGTTGAAGAAAAAGACATTGTTTTTAAAAATAAAGATTTGAACTGTGTAGTGTTAATAGTATGTGCACAATCCCAGGTGTTCTCTGAAGGTCTTAGAGATTTTGTTTGAGAAAATTAGCAAACAAGCAGGATCATAAACAGCAAAGAACACCGCTGACAGGCCAGTGAGAAAGTCCTAAGGAATTTTAGAACAGGATTTTGAAGCAGTGTTTCAAGCTTTGAACTTCTGTTCAGTCCATTGTCTTGTAATTGAAACAGCAGACCTGGTAAGCTAATAAGACATAGTCACCCAGCTAAACTTAATGCAGACAAACAAGATCATTAATCAAAGGATCTGTTGATAGCACAACCATTAGTAATGTGCTCCACAACTGAAAGTCTTAGCTTTCTTCTTGTTACTTTGTCAGAGGGGTGTTACAAGAAGGAATTCATTAGAGGTCCTGCTCGCAAAAAGCCTCGAAAGTTTGTATCAAAATATATCTGCATGTTAGAATGGACCAGTTAATGATTAGTCTTGTCTCAAACTGAGAATCTGTGGCATAACATAAAAATTGATGCCGACATGCCATAAAACTCTAATTGCAATTAAAGGTAAACTGAATAATTATTAATACAATGAATACTTCTCATTTTGTGTCTGTCTATCACATAAAACCCCAAAATAAGATATGTTGATAATGTTCAAAAGGAATTAATACTTATGGATTCTGCTGAAAGTAGGCATTTTAATCGTGAAAGTCTCATTCATAATTTCCCTGCACCTGCGTCATTACCTTGTGAAGGAAGTCAAAATAATTTTTTTTGTGTGTTTGTTCCACGTCATAATTGAAATAAAATCCTGTGCCTTACAGTTAACAACTCATTTTGTGTATAAGAAACTTGGGTAACACTTTATTTGAAGGGGGTTGAATAAGGCTGACATGACACTGTCATAAACATGACATAACACCTGTCATGAACATGAATATTTATGACTGTTGTCATAAAGCGTCATTCGGTAAATTATGACACTTAATATGAAGTTGACATTATTCAAAATGTCTTTGTTATGACAACTTGACATTAACCAAGAAATCATTACTGATATAAATTTGTTATAAAAGTATTACTGATTGCACTTTAAAAATTAGGTAACTTTATGTTATTAAAGGTAAAGTTTAAACAGTAGTTATTTCCTGGTTACTGTCAATGTCAACAAAGACATTTTGAATAATGTCAACTTTGTATTAAAAGTGTCATAATTTACCGAATGACGCTTTATGACAACAGTCATAAATATTCATGAAGGCTTATTGATGTTCATGACAGGTGTTATGTTATGTTTATGACAGTGTCATGACAGTCTTATTCACCCCCCTTCAAATAAAGTGTTACCGAAACTTGACATTTTTTAATGACATTTCTAAAGGAAAATTCAGCACATGGAAGTGTCTTAATAGGCCTGAACTGGTTTAGATGGCTCCACTTAAGGATGTGATTATGATTTCTACCTTTAGCAGAAAATAGCTTAAAATGTATACTTTCTATCTTAACACATTTTCTTGATAATTGCACTTTTCAAATTTCATTTTTATTCATAAATTGTGTTACCTATTCAGCTTCTGGCCACCAGATGGCAGCATGGTAAAGGCTAACTTGCATAGCTGTTACCTGCTGCCTGTGGTGGAGTAATATGTATTCTTTGTAATCTGAACTATCACATAGATTTAAAACAATGAAAACTAAATCATTCCACTAACAGCTATAGTTTTAGGTTTTAATGGTTAAGTCAAAATCAAAGTTTTTTTTTTTTTTGTTTTGTTTTTTTGTACCTTTTCCAGGCATCAACGCCATTCCTATCACAGCTGACATCAGCAAGTTGGTCGACGTGCAGAGGATGGTTGACACCATTGTGTCGAAATGGGGAGCGATCCACATCGCCTGCAACAACGCTGGCATTAACAAGAACTCGGCCAGTGAAGACACCAGCTTAGAGGAGTGGGATCAGACCTTCAGCGTGAATCTGAGAGGGATGTTTATGTGCTGTCAGGTGTGTGGGAGACCAACCGAGTTAACCTCTGTGGTTGTATCATTTGATCTTGAGAGCAACATTTTAGCAATTGTTGAGTTAATCACTTGGTACTCAAAAATTAGATTAGCGACATAAATTGGCAGAAATATTTGGTCTTAGATGTCAAAAAACTATAACAGACAAGTTGTGATATTTAGATTAAATTGTGTTGGAACCAAAAGCAAACAGCAGCGTGTCATGATAAAATTTGCTGAATGATAAATTGTACCAGAATTTATTCAGATAAACGATAACATTGTTTGTTTTGAGACCATTTTCAAGTAATATAATAGTAATGGCAGAATGATGCACAATTGGGGTAGGACACCTCTCCGCGACCCGGAGAAGGCACTCTACCCTTTTCTGGCTCAAGACCATGACCTCGGATTTGGAGGCACTGATCCTCATCCTGGCCGCTTCACACTTTGCTGCGAACTGCTCCAGTGAAAGCTGCAGATCACGACCTGAGGAAGCCAATAGGACCACATCATCAACATAAAGCAGAGATGCGATCCTAAGGCCGCCAAAACGGATCCCCTCAACACCTCAGCTGCGCCTAGAAATTCTGTCCTTGAAAGAAATGAACAGAATCGGTGACAAAGGGCAGCCCTGGCAGAGTCCAACTCCTACCGGAAAAGAGCCCGACTTACTGCCAGCAATGCAGACCAGACTCTGACACCGGTCATACAGTGACCTGACAGCCTATATCCAAGGGCCCAGCACCCCATACTCCCAGAGAACCCCTCTCGGGGCCCCCCGAGGGACACAGTCGAATGCCTTCTTCCAAGTCCACAAAACACATGTAGACCGGTTGGGCAAACTCCCAGAACCCTCCAGGACCCTGCTGAGGGTGTAGAGCTGGTCCAGTGTTCCACGACCAGGACAAAAACCACACTGCTCTTCCTGAATCCAAAGTTCAACTATCCAACAGACCCTCCTCTCCAGAACCCCTGAATAGACCTTACCAGGGAGGCTTAAGAGTGTGACCCCACTGTATTTGGAGCACACCCTCCGGTCTCCCTTTTTGAACAGGGGGACCACCACCCCAGTCTGCCAATCCAGGGGAACTGCCCCCGATGTCCATGTGATATTGCAGAGTCACGTCAGCCAACACAATCCTGCAACATCCAGAGCCTTAAGGAACTCTGGGCGGATCCTATCCACCCCCAGGGTCCTGCCACCATGGATCTTTTTAACCACCTTGGCGACCTCGTCCCCTGAGAGTCCCCAGGCTCAGCTTCCCCAATGGAAGGCATGTTGGTGGGATTGAGGAGGTCTTTGAAGTATTCCGCCCACCGGCCCACAACGTCCCGAATCGAGGTCAGCAGCAGACCATCCCCACTATAAACAGTGTTGGTGCTGCACTGCTTCCCCCTCCAGAGACGCCAGATGGTGGACCAGAATCGCCTCGAAGCCGTGCGGAAGTCTTTCTCCATGGCCTCT